ATTATTATTATTATTATTATTATTATTATTATTATTATTATTATTATTATTATTATTATTATTATTATTATTATTATTATTATTATTATTATTATTATTATTATTATTATTATTATTATTATTATTATTATTATTATTATTATTATTATTATTATTATTATTATTATTATTATTATTATTATTATTATTATTATTATTATTATTATTATTATTATTATTATTATTATTATTATTATTATTATTATTATTATTATTATTATTATTATTATTATTGGCAGACAGCCATTTCAGGTGCCCAAAGTCAGACCAATGGCAAGGAGCATAAATGCTTCTCCACTCCCACAAGTTCATATCAGCAGCAGCAGCAGCACCAGCAGCAGCAGCAAAAAAAAGTAGAATATAGTTTCAGGTAAAACTATCATTTTTGGTACGTCGTTGGCAGACACAGATCTCCGATGCGATCCGTGACTCCCCAAGTCAATGTATCAATCAATCAATGGTAATTGCCCTTCCAAGCAAAAAAGTTGCTCCTTCCATCCATCCCCTCCCCCCCACCAGTCTTCAACCCTGAGGCAATAATAAATTTTCAGGATCAACAAGTCAAAACCAAATCACCAGTTTTACTGCTCATTAATTTTATCCTCCATCTTTTTCTTCAAACAAAAAAACTAAAAAGGCTCTGATTTTTAGAGCTTAATTGGCGCACACACATGGATCTCAGATGCAACGCCAGTAGTCGCAACTCGACATCATATCAATCGCAGGTCCCAAAATGCAACTTGTTCTTGTCTCCACAACACCTCTCTCTGCCCCAAGACGAGCTGACCAACAACACGTTGGAAGTGATCGATACCAAAAAGCACCGCCTTTTTTGTTCTCTGTGTCTCTCTATAAATCGTCAAGGCTGACAGCCTAGCTCCGCCTCGTTAACCCGTCGGCTCGAGTGGAGTCCCCACTGGAACGGCCCTGCCAACAACCTCCCCACCTTGACGATCCCCAATCCTCCCAAGTCCTTCGCACCGCGACGACCTTATAGCCTCTCGCCGTCGCGCGCCTAGTCTGAGCTCGCCGGGCTCGTCAAGGTGGTACCTTTCGGCTCCATCGCTCCTTCTGCAGGCGTCTTCGTCTTTCATCTCGGCGTTCCAAGGCACCTGTCTGCCGCAAGGCTGGATTTTGGAGCTCACCTAATCTTTTTCCTTCGAAATTGTGCATTACATGTTCTTTCTCCGCCGGTCTTCATCGGATTTGCCGCTGTCTATTTGAAGAACCTTCCACCTATAGGTTTATGATCTCGGTGTCCATCTTAGACCAGCATGCATCACCAGTTACAGAAAAGAATCCTTTTTTGGGGGGTTGTTGGGCAGCTGAGATTTTAGATGAACTGAGGAGGACACTCTGTTCGTGTAGATTTGTTTCATACACTCGTTTGTGCTATCTCCTTTTAGCTGAGATCGGAGATTGAGATCCGCGGGGGGGCACAGTTAAGAGAACAAGGACATTGGGCCGTAGCGCTGAAATTGGTGGTGTTTCATGGCGTCCGGCCCTGTACATGAGGAGACGAACAAGGGAAGCATGTGGGAATTGGACCAGAATCTTGACCAACCCATGGATGAAGAGGCTGGAAGACTGAGAAATATGTACAGAGAAAAGGTGTAATTCAATTTCTCCGAGGATCTGCCATACTTTATCGAAGAGTTATTTTATGGGAACGTTGTTTTCTCTTTCGTTGCTATCTTTTTTGTACTTGTTCATTCACGTGCATCATCTTTCATCATTTTGCATTTCTTCCCTTAGTTGAATATCTCATGATTTTCCCAAAGAAATGCATATTTGTTAAGAAGTCTTGCGGTATTGTAGTAATTGATAACCGGTCTTAATCTTTTCGGTAATAAATCATGCTGAACTTATTTACCGGTTTTTAGTTTGAGGATTCTGGTTATCTTTTACCCTTTTCATTCTTTTTTCAGAAAAAAAAAATATTCCTCTTTTCTAGATATCCATATTGCACATATTTCGATTATTCCGTGAAAAACTGCTATTTAGATAGAGTCTGAAGCTTCTTGATTCTGGTTATCGTTTACCCTTTTCATTCTTTTTTCAGAAAAAAAAAATATTCCTCTTTTCTAGATATCCATATTGCACATATTTCGATTATTCCGTGAAAAACTGCTATTTAGATAGAGTCTGAAGCTTCTTGCTTCTTTTGCATAAAAACTAAACACACAGCTCTTCGGAGCACCTCTCTTAGATTAAGTTTTTCTCCATTCACTTGAGATGGTGCTTTCTGTGTGTTCGCTAAGCAAATCAATGTGCTGATTGTTCTTTGGTGCAGAAATTCTCATCCATTTTGGTCATGCGGCTAGCATTTCAGAGTCTCGGGGTTGTCTTTGGAGACTTGGGAACATCACCATTGTATGTGTTCTATAACACATTTCCTCATGGTGTTGAAGATGCAGAAGATATAATCGGAGCTCTTTCTTTGATCATATACTCACTCACACTGATACCGCTTCTTAAATATGTGTTTGTTGTGCTGAGGGCAAATGATAATGGCCAGGGTAAGATATCGCCCTGAAAGTTTTAGTTGTGAAGTTGCTATATCTACTACTGCACGTGCAATTAATAGATGTATATCAACTTTGGATAATCTTGTTGCATCGTATGGCTTATCAAGAATCATAATGGTTTTACAAATATGTGAAAATGGGCCTACTATCAGAAGTATGTGTTCATTAAATTTGAAGAAACATTATAAGCAAAATATGGATCTAAAAGTATGGATATTTAGGTTCGAAGGAAAGATATGAAAAGATGAAAAAAATATTCCGCAATAAACAAAATTCAGGCATGAAGTGTTGGTCTTCCTCTCCTGAATAGTTGAATGACTACACTATGTAGTATACTCACAATAATGATGATATTACAACAGAAACAGCATGAAGAAAAATATTGCATGCGATTAAAGCAGTTGAATATAACTTTTATAACATAGGCTGAGCTCCTATTTAGTCTGTGCGCAAGCCTATTTAGATGACTGCCAAAGGACGAAGGTTTAAGTTCATAAATAAGAGTTTCATGTCATTGGCCAGCACACAGTTATAGATAACCTTCAAACAGAATCAGAGCATTTAATAATTCTTTGTCAGGGAGAATCCATGAGAACAATATTATTGTGATGAAATTGATCGTTGTTTAGACTTTAGATAACCTGATGATTCATATGACATATAAACTCAAATTTATAAGACAACTAAAATTTAGAATGAGATAATAAAGTGACATTTGGTCAGGTGATCTAGCTCAGACCATTCTTTCAATTATGAAACATCTGATCTAGTGTCTTTTTTGGTGAGATCTGGTGATACAGATTTAGTAATATTATGTCGCAGTTATATGGATCATGTTTCACAATAAAAACTCAATGCTAATGGGTATTGCATTTGATGCTTATAATTATATTCCTACCTGAACCATTGTGAATTGAGGGGGGTCGTGCTGAGTTTTGATACTAATGGTAAGACTGTTGGTTCTAGTCAAGAAGTTACAGTCCCAAAATTTTTGCTATAGTATAAACTCAAGTGTTATCATCAAGATAGTCTCTGTGATGAGTGTCCTTAAATATGTGTTTTTATCGTGTGGATGCTTAGATCTTAGTCCATCTTACTTTCGGCCCTCTACAATTTTGTTAAAAGTATTGAGAAAGATTTCAAATCAAATAGAATGTTGAAGTTCCATCAAGAAGCTTTGATCCACTCCATTCTTTTGGTTCATAGCGACTTTATAGCAAAATTCTGTTGTTATGGTCCTTTGTGACTGTTATGCTGAGGGGACGGAGATCATAATTGTATCACATGGCCAATATTTAAATTGCTGCTAAATATGCTTGACACTAATTTTTGAAACTCTCCTATATTCACCTTTTTAATGAAGAAAATGCATATAAGAAAGAGAACGTCAGGACACACAGAGATGCCTTCATGTTTTTGTTCTCTGACTGATTTTATGTTTCCCTATAAATTATAAATTCATCTTTGTCATATGCAGGTGGTACGTTTGCCCTCTATTCCCTGCTTTGTCGCCATGCGAAAGTAAACACTATTCCCAACCAACATAGAACTGATGAACAACTGACAACATATAGTCGTCAAACATATGATGAGAATTCGCTATCAGGAAAAGTCAAGAGATGGTTAGAGTCACATGCGTATAAAAAGAATGCACTTCTTATTCTTGTCCTGGTTGGAACTTGTATGGCGATCGGTGATGGGATCCTCACTCCTGTCATCTCTGGTGAACTTCCTGTCCTTACGTCCTTTTCCTAAAGGATTTTTTTTCTTAATCTTCTGTTTTAAGATCTTTTCTTTTTCTTATTAATTGCAGTATCGTAATTCTTTTTGCCAAATGATTTTTATTCCTAATTTCTTCCTATTCGTTAAAAGAATGTCGTCTCATATAGCAATGACTGTTGGCGTATTTCTCATAAAATTTAAGTACTTAATTAATTTGCCTCCTATCATTCTGCTGGCTTGTGATTTAAAGTCGAGTGGCTTGCATCTCATATGGCATTTCCCCCCACTTTTGTCCGTAATAACATCACTATCTTTGACACAACACTCTTCATTGATTGCTGCATTATGGTACTTTTTGGGATGGTAATGGTTTGCTTGGGTTACATTCTTGTAATATTGCAACTAGGCAGGGTGATGATTCATTCTTCTTTCAGAGGAATATTTCTCACTCTTAAATGCATAGTAATAGAAGAAAAAGTTTTCCCAAAAGCTTAGTGAAAGAAAAACATTTTGATCAGGCATACATAGAATTCTTCAAAGTGCATCCTGCCGATGCGAAAACCCTTTGGTCATTACGTATGAGTCGCCTTGTGGAGATCACGATATTTGAGATTCCCTGCATAATTCTATGTTTGTAAATGCTTTACCAGACCCGCCATCATAGGTTTTCTTTACAATTTTTTCTAGTATATAGAATCTGATCATTAAGTACAATACCTGTTATCTTCTTACCTGTACTGTTTATGTTTTGCAGTTCTTTCGGCCTCAGGTGGCATAAAGGTTGACCATCCAAAAATGAGTAATGGTATATCTATAACTTTGAAGCTGATTCCTTTTTCTGGTCTTTGAGTATCCATCATGTGAATAGATGATTATGAGGAAACTTGTTGCTCTTCATCTTAGGAAAAATTTTGATATATGTTCCTAGCAGATTATCTCTAGGTTGTTACTCTGTTCCCATTCTTGTAATCTAAGGATGAAGTTTGTAACAATCATAATAGCTGGTACCCTGAAAATTTCCTTTAAATTCAAAGCAGAAGATAAACATGTTCCGGATTGGTGATGAATAACACATAAATTCTTTTAGATTGATATACTTTTGTGCTTCTTGCTGTCAAAATCTGGATCATACATCAATAATTGCTTTCCTACTTCATATCTCAATGTTTCAGATGTTGTTGTGCTTGTTGCTGTGGTCATATTGGTTGGTTTGTTTAGCATGCAACACTATGGTACCGATAAAGTTGGATGGCTTTTTGCTCCCATTGTGCTACTCTGGTTTCTGTTGATTGGAGTTATTGGCGCTCTGAACATATGGAAATATGATAGCTCGGTCCTCAAGGCTTTCAGTCCAGTTTACATATACCGATATATTAGGCGAGGGAAGCGTGATAGTTGGGTCTCACTTGGAGGAATTTTGCTCAGTATAACAGGTTGGCTATTTTTAGACTATGACATAGGACTCACAAGGTACGTGATTACGTATGTCTTCTGATTGTATACAAGAGATGACTTTAGTCTGTCCTGACATTGTTTTGCAGGGACAGAGGCATTATTTGCTGACCTTTGTCATTTTCCTGTCCTTGCTGTTCAGGTAATCAGTGGTACATCTAGTAACCATGACCAATCTCTCAAGTTTCTGGTGCTCTAATACTATCTTTTCTTGCAGATTGCTTTTACTACGATCGTGTTCCCTTGTCTTCTTTTGGCATACACTGGGCAAGCTGCATATATCGTTTGTAATACAGGGCATGTGTCTGATGCTTTCTACCGGTCCATTCCAGGTCCCTTCTGAATCTTTTTCGTAAATATTCTTTTTCTTTTGACTATTTTGTTACGCATTTTGCGAGTGGGTGGTATTGACATTTTCTTTATTGTTCTAGATGGCATATACTGGCCCATGTTTATCATTGCAACAGCAGCGGCAATTGTTGCTAGTCAAGCCACCATATCTGCAACATTTTCAATAATCAAGCAAGCTCTTGCTCTTGGTTGTTTTCCCAGGGTCAAGGTTGTGCACACATCAAGGAAGTTTCTCGGTCAGATATATATTCCAGATATCAATTGGGTCCTTATGATTCTCTGTATAGCAGTTACTGCTGGATTCAAAAATCAAAGTCAGATTGGAAATGCATATGGTAAGCTTGCTTTAACTTTGACAATGCCTGCTATGTGCGCATCGTTGTGCAGAACTTACCAAAAGCCTATCTATTCTATTATTGCCTCAAAGAAAACATCTGTCTGTTTAGAGTATACTAAGCCTGGTATATGTTGCCATAGTGTAATAGTGCAATGACTGTTCCTTAATCAGACAAGACCTCCACATTGCTGTTGGCACATATTCAGACAGTTCTCATAACCCACTGTAAAGTTTCAATCATAGTCTAGTTGTACTTCTGCCTAAAATCAATATGTCAATTAAACTTACTATATAACCGTGTTCAATTTTTGTGATTGGATTGTAGGATAGATGAATCATGCTACCATTCGCCTGTGTGATTAGATGGACATTCTCAATTACCAAATAGCAATATAATAGAAGTACTTGTTTGTCAATCACAAAAATGTATATGGTCCTGAGTACTTGCTAAAGTACCAGTCACTATTTTTCTCTGACCTACGGAAATTTTTGTTTCATATGAAAACAGGAACTGCTGTCGTGATTGTTATGGTGGTGACGACATTTCTTATGATCCCAATTATGCTTTTGGTCTGGCGAAGCCATTGGATTCTCATCACCATCTTTACGGCTCTATCCTTGTTGGTGGAGGTTCCATACTTGTCTGCTGTGTTGTTTAAGATAGGCCAAGGTGGTTGGGTACCTCTTGTGATTGCTGCAGCATTTCTCATCATAATGTATGTCTGGCACTACGGCACAGTCAAGCGATATGAGTTTGAGATGCACAGTAAAGTGTCCATGGCCTGGATTTTAGGCCTTGGCCCCAGCCTAGGCTTAGTCCGGGTTCCCGGAATAGGTTTTGTGTACACCGAGCTGGCAAGTGGGGTCCCGCATATCTTTTCCCATTTCATCACCAACCTTCCTGCCATCCACTCGGTTGTTGTCTTTGTCTGTGTCAAGTACCTCCCAGTCTACACCGTGCCAATCGAAGAACGGTTCCTTGTGAAAAGGATAGGGCCAAAGAATTTCCACATGTTCCGCTGTGTTGCAAGATACGGATACAAAGATCTTCACAAGAAAGATGATGACTTTGAAAAGATGCTCTTTGATAGCCTCTCCCTCTTCGTTCGACTAGAAAGTATGATGGAAGGCTATTCAGATTCAGATGAGTACAGCTTATTTGGACAGCATATGGAGAAGTCGATCGACTTAACATCCACTGAGAATGGAAATGAAAACACATTTTACTCCAATGTGGATCTCAGCTATGCATCTTCTTATGATCTTATCCAACCTGCGCAATCTCAAGGAAGCAGTCTGATGAGGTCGTCGGGCCAGACAAGTCAGACTACTGGCGATGAGTTAGTGTTCTTGAACAGGTGCAAGGAAGCTGGGGTGGTTCACATTCTTGGAAATACAATTGTGAGAGCCCGTAGGGAATCTGGGTTTGCAAAGAAGATTGCTGTTGATTACATATATGCTTTTCTTCGGAGGATCTGCAGGGAGAACAGTGTGATCTTCAATGTTCCTCATGAAAGCCTACTAAATGTGGGACAGATATTTTATATATAGTTGGCTTGCCTAAATTTAGGGACTTGGCACTGCAACTCGCTTGTCGCGTGACGCCAGCGAAGGTAGTAAAAATATATTGATCATGGTGAACTTACCATTTTTCTCATTGCTTTTTCTTGTAGCTCACAAGCCTTACCTATGATTGTAATCCACGCAGAGCTCCATCCTGCACTGGAAAGCTGGAGTAAGAGCAGCTCATGAGCCTTGCTTTTTTACATTTCTTTTTCTTTATTGGTAAGATATCAGTATGTGGATGGCTGTATTGGCTGTATAAAGCAGTGAAATTTGTAAATCGAGCTTATGATTTCAGGTTTCCAGGAATCTGTGAATCACTTGAACAATAAAAGTGTTCCCAAATCATGACTTGTACAGAAAAAAATATTACCACAAACTTAATCTGGATTATCTTCCAGTCGCTCATGCATCTGTGACATTTGCCTCGATGCGTAGGTACTGCAGAAAGAAAACTTACCCTTGCATAGATGGGATTAAATTGCTATACCTGAAGCTAAACATTCCATCAGAATGTTAAAAGTTGTGGAAGCACCACAGTCCATTTACTTTGGTTGTGGAGCTCAATCTATGGTTAGGTTCAGTAGCATTTATTTCTCAGTACCTTCTTTCCATTTGCCGAAATCTATAGTTGAGGGTAGCATTTTGCAGTGAAACATTTTGCTAATCTAATACTTGTGTTGGCTACTGGTTTTGATGATGGACACACAAATGCTAAAGGCTTCAGCAGATTTCATTGGAAATGAGAAAGAGGTCAATGCCAAAAAAAGTGATCTTTGCATCAAACATGGATTGCTTACAAAGAGAGCTACACAGAAACGATACAGCCACTTCAAAACTCCTCCCAACTACAGCAAACAATGAGTCTCAATTCTTACAATTTAAATAAAATGGAGGAGACGATTCAAGAAAACTTATATTAATAAATATTGTCACAGAACGAGAGAGAGAGAGAGAGAGAGAGAGAGAGAAG